AGAGCGACGGGATCAGCATGTACCTGCAAGGTGTGGCTGGCTCCGGCTGCAACTGTGTTTGTCTCCGGCTGCTCACCTTTCTCCAGACCTAAGAGGAAGAAGTGGGAGCAATGGAGAGAGACACTGGACTCCTGGAGGATGTGCGTGCACACAACGGATACACTGCAACAGCGGGGAGAGCGGGCGGGGGCATTGTGCGACATCGGGCGTGTTTCTGACAAAGTCGAGTCTGGACTCTTTTTGAAATGCTTTAATTATTTACGCAATTGAGAGTATTAGGTAAGAAAGTCTGACTCTTTCCTTCTTGTCTGTTTCTTGCCTTGTTCCTTCCTCCGATTTCGTAATCTTGAGAAAGAGGAAGGCATGTCCCAGCACGTCAAGACTCAAAAAGCAGGTGCGAGTTAAGGTAGAGGAAAGAGCGGAAGGTGAGGGAAGGAACGACACCGACATCATTCATTCCACGGCATCGGTGACTGCCCTCGTTCCTGCCCCGCGAGAACACCCACAATACCCTAGGTAGGTACTTCGTACGATGTACATCACTCAGGTACCTGGCACAGTGTCTGGGGCTCAGAGTAAGGTAGGTACGTAGCTGTCATCCCACTCTGTAACCTGTCCCAACCCCACTACACCCTCGCATCCGCCCTGTCTGCGCCGTGGTCGCCAGTCTGCTGGCGGCGCTGGCCCTGCTTTAATCGCCATAAAAAGTACTTGCTTGGGTTCTGGAACGAGGTATCTTGGCCATCTGCTGAATGAAAGTAGGGTACTCAGTACGAGTCAGTACTTATCAGACTCAATCTCCGACAGCCAAATATGCCTCCAAGAATACGCAGCTTCACACATGTTTGCATGACTCCAAGGTACTCAGCAAGTATCAGAGACATTCCTATTCTCATTGTACTATACTTCGTAGTCACTCTATCCTGCTTTTGCGGCTTGCCCTCTTCCTCGTTCCCTGTCGTTGTTGCCGCTCCCGACTATCGCTGCCCTCCACTGCGTAGGCAAGGTAGGTACGAAGGTATTGTGCTCGCTGCTTCCAGCCAAATACGCCCTGTGACCGGTCACCGCCGCATGCCCCTTTGCATTCTCTCCGTCTTTTCCCACGATTGACACACAAGGGCTCAACCGAACAAGACGTGCCCGTACCTTACCTCCTCACCTCCGAGTCTTGTCCTCTGACAAAACTCACGATCTATCCGTCTTACTACCTCCCTCCCTCCCTCCTCTCATACCCTCCTTTCTCTTCTCCTCCTCAACACTTACGCGCCGCACGGGCAGCGACAGCAATATCTCTTCGCGGCATCGCCCAACCACAGACCAGCCTCTCCCACCACATCTACACTCTAGGTACTGCCCTCAACCGACACCGGGGCCACCTCTGCGTCACTCTTTCGTCCCATCACTTTCACTCTGCCCCTCGTCTCACTGAAAGAAGGGTTCTCCAACACAACCTCCCCAACCAACTTTTCCCATCCGGCCTGGTGTTCTCTGCCCTATCCAACTCCTCTCGTTCGGATCGACGCCTCGAAATTCTCCTTTCGCCAATCCTTCCCCAACTCTCCATCTGCCGCCCTCCGCCATGGCTCAATCCACCGAGCCGCGGAGGCGGTTCGTCCCCGTTCCTATCGAGACCACCTTCGAGTCTGTACGTAAGACTACCGAGCAACAACCGCAATCTCAGCAACAGCAACATCAAACAGGCCCGGCACCTGAGTTGACTCCCGAACACACCCCGCGAACGCCCTCTCCCAATCCTTTCGAGCAGCGGATGCAGCAGCCGCCGCCGCAATTGCATTCTCTTCAAAGCCAGCCGGCACCGAGACGCCGCTTCGCTCCTCAACTTATCGAGACCTCTAGGCGCGCCCGTAGGGAGGGCGACGCTGGTCCTGCCACTCGCCCGACCGATAAGACCGACATCACACCCTACACGAATCATATCTACCTCCAACGGAACAAGTCGAGACGCAAGTTGAACGATGGCGCTGCTTCGCCCGCTTCCCAGACTCAACAGATTCAGAGGCAACCAAAGGGCGCACGAAGAGAGTCGGAAGATGAGAATGCAGGCACCTACATGTTGGAATGGGCTGCCATGGAGGCTGAACGCCAGATGCAAGAGGCTGCTCTGGCAGCGTTCCCCAACAGTCGCCCGCGTGAGGGAGGCGCCGCCCATTTCTACTTCAGAGAGAGCTCGGGAGACGACAGCACGCCAGAGAGCGTCTCACCACAGCAGACCGGTACTCAGGCCAAGCAAAGGGGCCGCCATGGCCATGCTCCCCGCCGCAAGTCTTCAGAAGTTGGATATTGGCAAAAGGAGATGCAGAAGCATGCCCAGGATCTGGCTGTTGCCAGAGGCGAGCACGCGCCTGTCTTTGACGATGACGACGACGAAAGCACCAAGAACGATTCCGAACTCGACAGGATGGAACTCGACACCCCGCCGGATCCCATGTGGTTGACGAACAAGAGGAACCACACCACCGACACCAGCTCCAAGGGACCATTGGAACCGATTGGCGAGAGTTTCATGCCGCTGATCGCGCCTGACCCAATCGCTACCCAAGATACGCGGCGCCCGGAGCTTCCTCCCCCAGAGCCGGTGAGCAAGCCCATTGGCGAAACTGGCATGCCATACATTCCGCCAGACGCGGCCAGCAAGCCTGCCCAGGTGCCTATCGCTGCACCTGCGCAGGTCGTTCCCGAAACTGGCTTCCGAAAGCCCCAAGGCGGATTTGGCCGCCCGTTCGGCAACTTCGGACTCCCTGCGGAGACGAGCGAGTTTCGCAAGATGCGCAAGGCGGCGTCCCCGCCGATGCTGGGCAAGGACCTGATTTTCCGAAAATGCCCCTCGCCGAAGCAGACCAAGCTTGAGCCGGACCACCCCTTCACCGAAGGCCCGACCGTCGAGGAGAGAAACAGGGATGCCACGGGCGAAGCCGGCTTGTGGAGGGGCTACTGCTTCCGGGGCAGCGAAAGCGATCAGGCCATTGTACCACCACATCTTCAAGGCCCCAGAATGCTGCATACACCGCTTCCAGCCGCCACCCCTGCGGATCCATTCGCCGCAGCCTTTAGCAAGAGCTCATTGACGGATGAGCCTGGATCGGACTATGCGTCTGCGACTCTGACACCAAACACAGCTGAGCACCGCGTTCGATCAGGCGAGGCCAAGGGTCTTCACATGCTCGCTGGCCTTGAGGACCGCCTCAAGCGCGAAAAAGCATTGGAGGAGAAGATTGCATCGGAATTCGACGACATCTTTATCACGCAGGTCTACAACTACTTGTCGCTGGGATACCCCGCCATGGCAAGGGCCTTTGACGAGGAGCTCGCCAAGATTGCTCAAGTCAGCGTCGAAGAGCTTGAAGCTGATGACGCGAAGCAGATGGCAAGTGGTCATTTGATGGAGCCGGCTGAGGCTGAGTTGGCAGAGGAGAAGAGATGCCCGAGATGGAAGGCGCTAAAATCCTACATCTACGAGTGGGCTAGACAACACCCGGATCTGGACAGCCTGGATTCCCTCGCATGGGGTGTACGAGAGAGACGAGGCAGCTGGGCCATTTAGACGGTCGACACAACAGTACGAGAGAAAAAAAAGCAAATGTGAAGTTTTTGACATTTCGCCATTAGAGACGAGGATTCAACGGGCAACACAGCATGGTCGAACCGAGCAGAAGAGCAGCATACTGGGTGATTTGATAGAGGCAGTGCGATTTCAACGAGGCGTTTCATATTGTCTCTCACCTTTCTCAACAGGGAGAACGTTTTTTGGCAGCAACCGGCATGATTTGGTGGTTTGATACAGGACAAAACACGAGGTGTTGAGGGCCTAGAACGATAAGAGGAGCTGCAAGCTCGCATTCTAGATGCTGCCTGTGGGGTCAAAGCAGGTGGAGAGGAACAGCATTCGGACACAAACGGGAATGGGCCGCAGCAACGTTGTGGGTCACGTCGAGAAGAGGATGCAGAGTGCAGATGCTCCCAACGCGGAGAATTTGAGGCATCAGTGAGGATGACAGAATGTGCACGAACCCTACCTTCAGGGGTGCTGACACCGCAGAGGGCAATGGGTTTTCAATAGGTACATTGGAATGCGAATTCAACGGCAACGGCCGTTTGATTTGACTCAGTATCTCGTTGCTGCTTCTCACTGCGGTGGTTTCTCACTGCGATGATGTATGCACGTTCATGTGACTGCTTTGTGAACATGATCTGCGCACAACACACATTGATGAGGTTACGAGTACTAGTGACGAGTGTGGAAGAGACAAACACATTCATGGGTGTCACAGCACGGTTCAAGACGAGGGCATTTCCAACAAAATAGCCTTCAGCCTAAGCTCGTTAGTCCTGAGCGGCCAAATTCCAACAACATCTTTCTAGCCAAGAGGTCTATAAAACGTCTCGTGTGTTGCTTGACACCTTACATAGCTCTGAACAATGAAACCATCTGCTATTCAACTGAGTAGGTTGAGGTCAGGGAAAACTTTCATGAAAGCTCGGCGGCAGGTGTGATATATTATGGGATGTATAAAGCCAAAGTTTGAGAACCTGCCTGAGCCTGGAACCGATGCCGTATACGGCTTTGCTATCGGCATCTGGGGCAGCCGCCGTTCGGTGCGGGGCCGGCGGTCGAAGCCCGTCTTTATTCTTTTACATTCTCGTTGGACTTTGGTGCTTCTTGAACTCCGAGTTAAGACGACACCATGACCGACTTCTGTGATCCCAGTCACAATCAGCACTTTTAGTCCTTCTCTTTGACCCCTTCTTCTAGTCTCGTTCAACTTGAGTTGCCACTCACATCCCCTTCTGAGATGAGTTTACTCCTCTTAAACCTAACTCGTTTCTGGTGCAGAATTCGTATCAGTACGAGCATCGCCGTGGTATCAAAGCCAAATCAAGATCAAATGCTCATAAACTCGCTCGAAAGCAACTCAATTCCACAGATCCTATCATGTCATTAAGCCTTTCTTCCAAACCCCCCAACAACATCCGCAAACCCCTCACACAAAGAACTCGTTGATCGTCTTAACTACCTCCTCGGGCGCCTGCTCCGGGATATAATGCCCACTCTCCACACTCCTCCCCTGAACCTCAACCCCCTCCCCAGCAACCTTCCTCCACTCGCCCACCGCATCGAAACACTTCTCAATCACCCCGTGCTTCCCCCAAAGCACAACAAGCGGCGTCCGCAACACCCTCCCCTCCCTCAGATCCGCCTCCGCCTCTTCGAGATCCAACGTCGCGCTCGCGCGGTAGTCGTTGCACATGGCGCCCACGGCCTCCGGCTGGCCCATGACCTGCGCGTAGAACTCGAAGTCCTCCTCTCTGAAGATTTGCAGGCCCGTGAGCTGGCGTCCGCCCATGAAGAGTTCGAGAAACTTGCGCGGCGCGGCGTTGATGAGGGTTTCGGGTAAAGGCGAGGGTTGGATGAGGAAGAACCAGTGGAAATACGCCTTTGCGAAGTCGAGGTTCGTGGTCTTGTACATCACCAGCGTGGGGCAGATGTCTAGGAAGATTGCTTTGCGGATGCGGGAGGGGAAGTCTACGCATAACTTGTGCGCGACCCTCGCGCCGCGGTCGTGGGCGCAGACGTAGAAGGAGGTGTCCTCGTCGTAGCCTAGGGAGTCCATGACGGCGATGCAGTCCCGCGCCATGGCGGATTTGGCGTAGGAGGGGACGCCATCTGGTTTCGAGCTGTTGCCGTAGCCGCGGATGTCGATTGCGATGACGGTGTAGCCGTCTTTGACGGCGGTTGCGACGCTGTGCCAGATGTGGTGGCTTTGGGGGAAGCCGTGGAGGAGGAGGAGGGGCGGGAGGGAGGAGGTGGTTGCGTCGCCGCTTTTGATGCCGTGGATTACGACGTCGGGGGAGGTTTGGGTTGTTACTGTAAAGGGGGAGAAGCCCTCAAAGGTCGTCATGGTTTCTTGTTTGATGGTGTTGTAGAGTGTAGATGATCTTAGGATAGTTGTTGAGACTGGATATAAGAGCTTATTAGTATTCACGCCTTGGCTTTCTGGAGTTGTGTGAGATGTCTGCGATGCAGTTTCTTGGGGTTTATAATATCAGGATGGAAGTTGACGCCCTTCGCAATTACATGCGGCTAATATTTGACGCGGAGTAAGGTAATGCGATGTGACGCCACGACTTGCCCGCCCACGTTTACTCATCTTACACGGCCAAATGTCGATTTTCCCCGCTCGCGCTAAGATCGCTGACAAGACGATTAAGATGACTGCTTTACGCCGCCACAGCGCTATGAACACGAAGGTTTAAATCATCGGGGTAGTGCGTGTTTTTCCCGTTTAGACATTTTGAACTCCCAGATATCGGCTAAACTGAACAACCGCGGGTTCTGAGAAGCCGAACGCATAGTTTGGAGAGCCAGAGTTGCACTATTATCAACTTCCATCTCCTACATTGCAATATGTCTCTTAACCACAACGCACGACAGTCCACTTCGAAGTGAACCTCTGGGATCTGTCAGGTGGGGGAGAGAGCCTTGACCGTTCCGATGCTTTTGTTCCCAAGAGACCCAACCACACACAAGACCCATCCCTGTCTGACCCTAATCCACGTCGTGATCCACTATCTACGACACACAAACATGAGCGCCTAGGGCTCGCCAGATGATTATCCCCGCCCAAAGCGGGTTGATTCCACGGCGTTGTGGCAGAGTGGTCTAATGCGCAAGACTAGAAATCTTGTTCCTTCGGGAGCGTCTGTTCGAATCAGGCCAACGTCGAGTTATTCTTTTGCTGGATCCCCAGATTCCAATTTTTGTAAGTTGTGTTGAGATGAGTGACTTGCTCGTGAACTTTCATGACCTTGCTGTTACCCAGGGTGAGCGGTGCCCTCAGATATAACTCGAAGAAGTAACGGAATGAATGGTTACATGGTTGGTTGAGATCACGGCCCTCACCCTTGAAATCCCCGAAAAGAAAACCCCCTCCCAATCTCGTCACCCTCCTCCATCACAAACGTACTCGAGCCAGTATAATAAGCCTGTCCACTCACCTCAACCCTCCAAGCCCTCCTCCCACCAACCTCAACCTCCTCCACGGGCGTCCCTACAAACGCCCCGCGATCCCCGCCAACACCCCTCGATACAAGACTGTGATATGTCCACGACTGGCCCAGTTTCCTCTCGCCCCGCGCAGCAGCTAACGCAACACGCGCCTGCACGACTGAACCCGTTGGACTCCGATCAATTTGCTGGTCGCCGAAGAAATACAGCCCCGTCTCCGCGCCCGCGCATCCTTGTGCTGTAGGGAGAACGTCGTTACTACCTGTGTCGGTGACCATGATGCCGTAGAGATACTGCGAACCCGGAACCGTCTCGTCGTCTGCGGGATCTTCAAGGCGGACGCGGAGGTCTGCTGAGGCGTTGAAGGCTTGCTTGAGCTTCTTGGTTGCGTTACTGAGGCCGCTCACGTCCGGCTTCGAAAGAGACGACGGAAAGCCCAGGGCCGCAGTGGAGACGACAGCATAGAATGCACCTCCAAACGCAACGTCTATCGTCACGGCTGCGGCGTCACCTAGCTCCGGCCAACCTAGATCCCGCGGGATCGGAACAGAGAGATCGACAGCCGTAGCGAAAGTCGGCACAGAAAGAAACGTAATTCGCCTTCCCGTATCCGTCTTCCACCCCGAGATGTCCCCAGTGCTGCCATCCACATCCACCCTCACAACAGGAACCGTAAGTCTCACCACCCCAACGGGCGCATGCAACCTGACCTCCACCGTCTGCCGCTCCTCATCAACAACCAGCTCCCGCCGCCGCGGGAAGACCGTCTCGTCCGCGCAGTCGACGAGGAGCCTGCCGAGCGCGAGGGTGGCGTGCCCGCACATCGCGCCGTACCCCTCGTGCGTGAGGAATAAGGCGCCCATGTGCGCTTCGCCTGCGTCGACGAGTTCTGTGTGGGGCCGGAGGACGGCGCCGTACATGTCCGCGTGGCCGCGCGGTTCATAGATTATGCTGCGGCGGATGTGGTCGTGGTCGGTTTGGGCGAGGGAACGCTGTTCGAGGAGGGTGCCGCTGGAGGAGTGGAATTGGTCACCGGTTAGGGGATGGGGTCTCTCATTGGGGGTGAAGGTGGTTTACTCGTGATGTGAGAGATGCTGGTGGAGGTAGACTTACGGTATGTCTGGGTAGCCGGCGTATACGATGCGCGCCGGCTCTCCGGCCGTGTGCATCTCCACGGTCCGGATCTCGGTGCCCGCGAAGGGCGGTAGGAAGGATGGCAGGCTCATGATGGGTGAGTCAACCGAAGATTCGTAAGTTTGATGCTCTCTATAAGCCACGAATTCCACTTGCTGTCAAGGTTTTTGGGAAACCTGCACGGGGGATGATGTAGTTGCAAGAAAGGGCGCAGCGTCAGCCGCTGACATCCGCTTCGCAATCCTCCGAGTCGGGCCCCACCTTTTCCGGCCGCGGGTTGCCGATGTCGGGGTGCGTCCACCGTGACGGCGGCGCCGGAGCGAGTGCATGTCGGCATTCCGTAAATCAAGGGGTGTCTCTCAGTGCACATATCGAATACCAGAAGTCCTGGTGAACAGATCCTGATGAACAGAACCTGATGAACAGACAGGCTACTCAAGACTCGAGATGATCAAAACCCATAATGCTTCCTAGCAACCACGGGCAAGATCAAGCTCAGATTAGCAACAAGCAGCTCGCTCACAATTTGGTCAAACATGAATCACTCAGGCAGGACGATGTAAACATGGCTTAAGCAATCGTATCGATTCCCTTGAGAGACCCTCACTTCTTGCAGTCAAGCAGCACGCCTTTTCAGGCGCCAGACTACCCAACAACCACCACGTTTCGCTGCCGCCATCTTTGCAACTAGCTAAGTCCTGAGCTACCCTCAATGGAGTGAAGAGTCATGTTTTGAGATTGCATCTTCTGCAACGGGGTTCAAGTGTTGGGATGAAAACTCGGTTTCGACTTCTCCGACACGTGCCTTGACCTGCCGTTTGTCTCATATAGGTATTGATCGCTGGTGGCCTTTCGTGGGAGAGGTTCTGTTATAGTTCACCATCACGAACACCTACTGCGTTTTGGGATGTCGGGGTTCATCACAAATATGCTCACACTCAACAGCTCTTTGCCTCTACCAGGTTATACGGCGGCCAACTAAGTAATTGGTATCTGCGGCTGAGAACCAACTTATGATGGTAGCGTATGGTGTTGGCAGAAGGTAAAATAAACCCATTCTCGACAGCTTGAAGCCCCCAATAGTATTTCCTTTTGGTTCTGTAGTCGTATGCGAATTGAGAGGAGAGATCTGCTGCATAGTCAACATGGTATGAAGAGGCTCGCTCAAACCAAAGTCTCTTGGGAAATGAGCCCACAGGCTTGTAAGCAGAAGAAATCCGTGATCTCCCCTCCGCAACCAAGTAGTGACCGCCTTAGGGACCGGGAAGACCCTGACTCAAATAGGCCGCCGTGCGAGCCATACGGCTGCGAACTGATCCGACGTTCACAATTACCAAACTCTGGTTCCGAGCTTCCGCACTCAACTTCGGACGACCCCCTTCAAAGGCTGGAAGTGGTTTGTTCACGGGGGCCTTGAGACTCGCCGAATCGGCAGCGGTAGCGATAGCGACCACTCTCAGTGACTTACTCACCTTAACTGTGACTGGAAGCCGTAGACCCCTTACTCGCCTCGGATTCTCCCAATCCTGCTCTTGAACAAACGCTGTTTATCCGATGTTTCTGAGGGGATGTAAGTGGCGATTTGACAACGGATCGAGGCTTCCGGTTCTAGAAGCTGGTGTTGAAGAGATTGACAAAGACGAGAGGGTTGATGAGGGGGCGAGTAGTCACCTGCAAGTGATTTACGCACTTTGACTAGGGCGATGAATGCTGTCACCCTCAAAAGTATCTCATTTCGAGAATGAAGATATACTAGTGCAACCATTGTGAATTGACGAGAAGTGTCAGCCTCCCGCCACCCGACACGGGCAGCCTATTGAATCGGAATCAAGAGTCCAGTCTATTCCCGTTCATAGGATTGTATCCTGCCCCGAAGAAGGCTGCACCCTTGAAGCCAATCGCAGCCCTACCATCTTACGCTTACACCAACCATCGTCCTCACCTAATTACCCAGATCTCACGCACACCACAAGTCTATTCATGGCCACAATCCTCCTTCCCCTCATCTCACACCTCTCTCAGATCAAGTGAAGAGTCCCGTAAGACTAGCCGCAATGATCCTAGTACGAACGGGATCGTGTTCCGCCGTATTAGGTTCACGGCCACATTTCTGACAAGACTCACGGGCTCCTGCAAGATCGTCTGCGGGTGAAGCCTGGAGCTGAACACACATACCTTCCCTCTGATGCATCGCCGGCCCGTCAGTAAGCCCTGTATCCCAGTCTTGTCCATCATGATCTCACTCTACAGTACCTGCTCACCCAAACACCCGAAAATCTCGTACTCTAAACCCATACCATCGAAGTACTGACAAACCAGACACGATTCATCCACCATTCTGAACTTCTGGTCCAGGCCTACACGCGTGGCCTCTCCCCATTCGAACTTGCATGATCAGCACGACAGATCCGGTTCACGAATCTCGAGTCCAAACTGGGATTGGGGTGGGTGTATGCACCACCGCACGACCTCATGTGCAGAAACCATTCCACATAACAATCCGAAAATCTCACACCAAGGCTACCAAAAATGTAAAAAGGTCACCTCCCTCTCCTCCTGCCCGTCTCGGGCGTCGGGAAACGTTGCTAGAATGTGACCCTTCTTTCTTCTACGTTGTTGTTCTTTCTCTCCTGTACTTTTTCCCGCTGCAACTCTAATACCTGTTACCAGCCCGCTTCCCGAACCCCTTAGCTCAGACCTATTACCCTCAGACCGCAAAGTTTCATCAACAGAGCTGCAGAGAAGAGAGAGAGAGAGAAATCACTCCATGAAGCTGCAGCAGCGCTTCCACCGCGCGCTCTCGAGATGCACATCTCACCCCCAGTGTACGGGTCCCCTCTCTCGACACTATCCCTCCTCCGCCTCCTCTTACTCCTCCTGCTCAGCAACATCGTCCTCGGCAGCACAACAACCACTCCGACCCCGACCACAACCAGCACACAAAATCAAAGAAATGAACCAGCGGCACCCCCGAACCGCGCCTACAAGGCCCCGCACCTAACCATCACTCCGGCCCCGGACCCGGTCTTCGCATCGCACCGTCTTCTCCGCGCCCGCCAAGGCGACCCCCGGTCCTCGGACGGCCGCACGAATTTCATCGCGTGGTACTCCCAGTCCGGCGCCTGGGTCTCGGCGACATGTCCGGCAGACAATTACTTTGCTGCGGATAGTAAGTTTGGGGTCTGCTGTCCGCGGAATAATCCCTTCTGTGAGATGGCGACATCGTGTGGCGGGCCGTTTGGGAATTATGCTGTTGGGCCGACTGGACAGGCAGACTGGTAAGGACTGACCACTTTCATTTCTTTCCTTTTCATGCCCGGCCGAAACTTGGGGATCATGGAAGATTGCGCAAAAAGGACGCGTACTAATCGGAGAGGGTAGTGGACCGAGCAACACGTGCGATACAATCACCATGCTTCAAACGCAAGGCAGCACCGACGCGAGGAGAATTATCTTCTGCATCGCCATGTCGGAGCTCTACGTTCTCCCCATGACTTGGTACCGCGTCACACATCCACGTAAGCACCCCGGTCCTTTTCCCCTTAACCCCGTTACGTACGAGACTCTATCCTGGGCTATTTTTACCTACGTGTGATTCTAACAAGACGGGTTTCCGCGTTCTTCCAGTCCCAGAAGCCTCCGTCGCAACAGTAACGGTGACCCAAAGCACAACGGTGATGGCGACTCCCCGGGCCGGAGGGAGCCGCATGAGTGGGCAAGCCAGCAGCCCCTCCCGTTCGCCGCCTGCCATGATAGCTCTGGTGGTGGCTGCGACGATCTTGTGCTTGGCTCTTGCTGTACCATGAGGAAGCCTTCATGAGTAAACGTAGAGACACAGATGGGCCACCGCGTCTTGGATTTAGTTTACCACACCCATGGCTAGGCAAGCCTGCAACTACCCCATATTGAAGATAGTTATGTTGAGCCAAGTTACTAGGGCTGGCGGCACTGTAATCTCACGCATGAGGCAATACAGTTGCAGAGCCCGTTCTCCGCTAAAGAAAGCGGCCATGTTGCAAAGAAAGCAATTAGGCCAGAACGGAAGAAAAGTTAGGGATCATGAGGCAGAGTATTGGACAGTGTAGAAGAAACCACGACGATATCAATGAACTGGCGGAGTTAAGCATAAGGTAAACTTACCTCATCTTGATAGGGGCATCACCAGACAGGGACGGGAAAGAGACAATATGCTCGGCTAAACTCCCACACGTACTCGGTACATGACCAGCATCTTCCAACTGTACATCTTTATCTAGCGAGCACAAAACGCATAGACCATCTTTTCTTATAATCGATATCAATGGGAATCTTTTTCCATTAATACAATCACTAAAGGGAACATTGTTTTCCACGAAGAGTCCAGGTCTTCATAGGCCCGAGGGTACCTTTCTCGTCGGCCGCATGTGGACTCCCTGCCCGGCACCCACCGCCGGGCCCACGCCGGGACTAATCGGCCCAGCCCGCCCTTCCAATCTTTACATCCTCAACCTCCATGCCATGAGTTCATATCCCATCGTCACCGCAACGCTTCCCAAAACATTCCAATCCCAAGCAGCCCAAATCCCACGTTCATCGGAGCCCTCTGAACACGGATCACCCATTTAGCTGCACACATTTGTTTCCAGCCATTTTCCCAGGCCGTCACCGATCCGTGCCTTAGTAAGTACTCTGCGCATCGGTCAATCCGATTTTCCTCCCCAGCGCCGTTTGCTTGCGCTAATTCATCCATACAAGCAGGCCATTGACCTTGAGACCCTTGGCCGAGCCTCGACTCTTACGACGTACTCGATACAGTCTCGATTGCGGCGAAGAAGACATGGAAGATGAGGGCTAAGGGTAGGTACTGAGCAGCCATCCATGATGCATGATGCCGCCGCCATAGAGGTCAAGCTCATTTGAAGCAGTCTCCGCTATGTAGACTTACTATACACGGCCACATGACGTTCTCTTTCTCATTCATCAATAGCACGGGTTGAAAAGTTTTATACATCATATTCTACAGCTCAAATGTTGGCTAGCCTCTTTTGACGTCCGCTAGCTGGCAATAAAAGATGCTGTGTATTGGGCATACAGTCACAACGCCCGCAAATCA